GTGGTACACCCAATGCCATGAACCATCCCTACAATCAACATTTTTATGGCTGGGATCTCAACTAGTCATGGTAGTTGTTTACGGCATTGAGTTGCCCACTTGGTTGACAGCCATGCATCAGTTGTTAGTTTGCCAAACCCAGACGTGGAGTCCTCAGCCGAATCAGCTATGAATCATATTATGGTGCAAAGCTTGGAAATCTACATGTCAAGCAACAGACTCCCGGACTTTGGGAATGATATGGAATGATATATATATATATACATATAATATATATATAACATATATATATATATATATGGATATTTGACTTAAAGATTAGTCAAGATTTTCAAAGATGGTATTTTTTTAAATGTATTTTCCGACGTGAGGAGTTCCAGGACTGTGCCCATCTGTGCCCTCCTCTCCATAGGGCAAAGGCAAGTCTTCCGAAGCCGCCAAAGGCTCGAAAGGCGCGGACTCGGCAACAGCTCCCCATATGTGTCATAGTTCCAAGAGTTGGATGAGGTTAAGCTATTGATTGGGGGGTCATGCCACCAGCAATAGGCAAAAAAAAACTGGACAACATGAGGATCTCCAAAATAGCTGGGATAGCAATAGCGCACAAACTGTGTTTTGACCAATATGGAGGCAGCAGTAGATGTTTTGTTTGATCTTGTGGTTGGAACCTCACTCGATTTTATTCTCGAAATTGTAAGTCATATTTTGATACACTACGCATGTAAGGTGGCTTTTCAAACGTCTCCAACCTCAACAAGAGGTTGACATTTTGTCTTACCAGATCCTTGAATCGTGACATGTTTGAATTTGGCCAGAAGGGATACGGATACGTTGCAGCATTCCCAGTGGGTAACACTTAGTCTTGCAATGCAAAGAAAGCCATTGTGGTTTTGAAAATCGGACCTTGAATACACTTTTCAAAGGGGAAGATGTGTGGAAAAACATCCCCAACATCACCATTTTTATGGGTGCTCTAAGCTATCCCCAGTCATGGTAGGTTGATGGCATTGGGTTACCTACATTAAACATTAAACGTGGTTAGAGCTTTAAAAAACAAGAGACGTTGGCCATGTAATTCCAATCTTTCGCCTCGGTCATTGCCCCAACAAGGTGGGGGTCTGTGTCTTGACTTGACCCTTCGCATCAAGGCAAGAGCAAAGGCAAAGGTTCCAAGGGCTCTAAGGGCTCTAAGGGCTCTAAGGGCTCCAAAGGAAAGGCTGGGCGGCTGGTGGCGGCTGGGGGCGGCTGAGTCTGGGATGAGTGCAAGGTCTGATTTTGTGACTCCTATTTTTGCCCAGTGAAATTAGAAATCTCTGTCAACCACAGGGTACAGAACCATTTTTGAATGATAATTCGCTTTTTTGGAAGATGCTTAACATGAATCTGATGGCTCCACAGTGTCAGCAAGCTAGAAATGGCTGAGATTTGCGATAGCATGTCCTCTTCGTGGAACTGTGCCTGTGCTGTCAGGGTAAGTATGAAGATGATTATGCCTCTCCCTCGAAGGGCAAGGGAAAAGGCAAGAGCAAAGGAAAGAGCAAGAGCAAGTGGCTTGGCAAGAGCAGAGCTTGACATGTCCTTTTGGAGTAACATGGGGTAACCATGGTATCACCAACAAAAAATACTATAAAATACTTGTTTATATAACCAGCATTGATATTTCCTTTCGCTGTGAATCAAGCCCTTTGAGACCTGTTGGGACCACAGATGTTCTCTCCCTTGTAACAGTAAACGACCCCATTTCAAGACTTATGTGTTTCATCCTGTTTCCAAAGATCTGTGAGCCATGCAAAAAGCTGGCTGCTCTTGAACAGGAACCGCACATGGGTTCCTCTGAAAATAGGGTACATCCAAATTTCATGGTCAATCACTATTTCTACACCCAACTTCCACGATGATTCGTCGTTTACTCACCACTTTCCCTATTAAATCTAGCAATTGGACCAAGCCAGCAAGGTATGATGACTTTGATGAGCCCAAGGCCGCGTTTGATGAGTCGGTCTGAAAGTTATGGGAACACCAATTTGATGGTTTATCATGGTTTATAATATTTCTTCTTGGTGTGTTTTCATGGTAATATTGTTTTTCATGTTTTTTGAATTTGTTTTTTTGTTTGCATCCCCAATTTCTTGGACAAATCCATGTGTAGGGTTTGTTCCTAGGAGCGGAGGAGCGGCATTCATCTGATTAATAGGGGTCAACAGCAACTGCTTTTTTGGCATCTAAAATAAGCGTCATTTGGGTCTAGGTGGATACGTATACATATATATATATTATATATGTATATATGTATATATGTATATATATATATATATCGTATATATATAATATGTATATAGTTGTATATATATATATTGTAATATACATATACGGTATACGTGTAATTATATATATATACATATCACAAATTATATATAATAGAATCACATATTATATATATAATGTACACACATTCACCTGTGTCTTCGGATCTTCGCAGTGACTATGGCTGGATACAGCCATGGGTCCAAAGGAAGGAATCGCTACGGGGGTGCAGCTGGGGTTCGCTCACATTTCTTACTAACCGTGGTGTTAAAACAAATCTATTGGGATATAACCACGTAACCACTCCTATGGTTATTATATATCCGCTCATAACTCGAATCGCGCCCAAGTACCAGCTCTGAACAGATTTTTCCTTCAGCCCTTGGCATGGCAGCACTGCGAGGGAAAGGGCAAGAGCAGCAAGGGCGGCAAAGGAAAATCCAAGAGCAAGTCATGGGAGGCCGATCGTCCCAGGATGTTTACGACCGGATGTGCATCCCAGGAATCGCTACAGTAGCTTCTGCTTCTGACCCGGACCCATAGCTGCCATAGCCCTCTAACGAGATCGGTGTAAGATGGTTACCCTCTGGTAAACTAACATAGCTATTGAAAATCACCATTTTTAATGGGAAAATCCACTATAAATGGCCATTTTCAATAGCTATGTTAGTTTACCAGAGGGTACCCACACACAGGGATACACCTGAAAGTTGGTCAGGACTCTTATTCTCCACCCAAGACCAAGGGCTACTCTTCGGGAGGGAGCAACTTGGATGAAACAGGCGCGACCAGAACACCCAAACAAGGGCTCCAGCAACATATGCCAGGATGGTGCTTTCCTTTCACTGATAGCACTTCTAAAAGAGTTCCCGGCATTCTCAATTTCTGGGACTTGAGGATATGAGTTTGAATCAACAGTTAAGGCCTGCAGAACCCCACACATGTGATCCGACCTAGTACAATAAGGTATCGGTACCTGGTGGTGTGACCAGTTCTGAGCATCATAACCTGCCGTGAAGGACTTGACGTCATGGTGAGTTATGATGATGAAAAATGGGTGATGATGATCAGAAGCCTGATCTTCTTGTTCTGGTCCTTTTGACAGTTTGACATACATGAATGTGTTGTTGTAGCTCTTAGATATAAAGATGATAAAGATGTGAAGCCACAGAACTCTGGTTTGCCACTGATTTTACGAGAACACACGTAAACCAGGATTCTCAGGACGGATTTGGAATCAGATATGTCAAGTGGGGAGTTATTTATTCTATTGGAAGTAACTAGATTGATTTGCGTACATACACATGGGGGAGCCAAAGAACCCAACCACCTTGTTCATATGTTTAGCACCTGGTTGGAACATTTTTCATGACTTTCCATATATTGGGAATGTCATCATCCCAACTGATTTTAACTCCATCATTTTTCAGAGGGGTAGGTCAACTTAACCATCAAGCAGGCTCCTATTTTTGCTATGTCCTGCAAGTGAACCAGTTGGTTTTGGATATGTTCACCTAGGCAAGGGTCAGTCCTACGGCTGGGGCGGCTACGAGGACGGATTCCACGGAATGGAGTCCATGGAATGGATTCCATGGCCCAGAACAGGGTGACTTTCTCCATAGCTATCTTGGTTTAATGTTAGTGAAGTAATAGGATTCACCATCCCCAATTTGAGAATCTTTATGGCTGGACATGGCTGGTATAAACTATCAAAGTATGGATGGTTTATTATTGCTTCACCAACAGTTACTAACATTGTGGTTTACTGAAGGATCTCCCCAAAATTGATGGTTCATGTTTTTTTCGGTCCGTTTTTCCAAGGAATTCGGACATTTGGGGGTATACCACATGTTCAGACACATGTAAGTGTTTGGGTCACATGTACCTGTTGGGGTGATCAAACAATTCCGGAGCACTTGAGGAACTTAAGAACACATCCATGCAACTTTCAAAAGTTCAGGGAATTGGAAAAGAAATGCTCATCAGCCCTTTGAACGCCAATAATCATGATTAACCTTTGTTGGTCACTTGTTTCCCATTACATCCCAGATGGTATTCACATGCAGGGCTGCTCCAAGCTGCTGAATCTCTGCCGCAAGGGGGTCATGGTTGGTCCAGCAGACTCCCTAACCTCCAGGATAAAAGCTACGGTAAGTCGTCGGGCAAGGGCTGGGGTAAGTCGTCCTCCTATGACAGCTATGGAAGCAGCTTGGCAGTGGAACACAAGTGGGGCTGTTGGTGAGATCGTGCTTTTTGGTCACTATTGATCCATATTACATGATATTTTGATAATTGATTACTGCACTTATAAATTATTTTCATATCCCTAACAGAACTCACCATCAAATATGGGGATTTAACAGGGTCCTTCATTTGGCTTTGTTCAAACATGGGGTATACCCCAAATTTGCAATTGAAAAAACCAGCTTCCGACAGGCCCACTTGGATGTTAATTCATCCAGCAGTCTGTGGGTTGTTTAGTGTTGCTAAGTGGGATACACCTACAAGTAGTGTTATCCTTGAGATCCCTTGGGTTAAGCAAGCATGACAGCAGCAAATAAGAGAAACAGGCCTTAGGAAGATGACAAACAGGAGCACATATAATATATATATATATATGTATATGTATATGTATATGTATATGTATATATATATATACGGCAAATGCCTGGGCTTTGCCCGGAACCGCAACCACGACAGGCAACGCATCATCATCATCATCATCACCACCACCATCATCATCATCATCATCAATCATCATCATCATCATCAAACCCTTGTTGAAGATCTTCAAAATGAAGATAGAAGTTTAACGGGGGTGGGAGAATTAAACCCTTATTGAAGATCTTCATTGAATGTAGAAGTTTAACGGGGTTGGGAGAATTAAACCCTTGTTGAAGATCTTCAATGAATGTAGAAGTTTAACGGGGGTGGGAGAATTAAACCCTTATTGAAGATCTTCATTGAATGTAAAGTTCAATGGGGGTGGGAGAATTAAACCCTTATTCAAGATCTTCATTGAATGTAAAGTTCAACGGGGGTGGGAGAATTAAACCCTTATTGAAGATCTTCATTGAATGTAAAGTTCAACGGGGGTGGGACTTTAATATTCCCTAGTACCTTTGTTGATCTTCTTAATGGAATGTAAAGTTTCACGGGGGTGGGACTTTAATATTCGCTAATACCTTTGTTGATCTTCTCAATGGAATGTAAAGTTTCACGGGGGTGGGAGTTTAATATTCCCTAGTAGCTTTGTTGAAATTCCCATAGGAATTTAAAGTTTAACGGGGGTGGGAGTTTAATATTCCCTAGTACCTGTGTTGATCTCCCCAATTGAATGTAAAGTTTAACGGGGGTGGGAGTTTAATATTCGCTAGTACCTTTGTTGATCTTCCCAATGGAATGTAAAGTTTCACGGGGTGGGAGTTTAATATTCCCCAGTACCTTTGTTGTTTTTCCATGTTTTTCCCATAGGAATTCAAGGTTTAACGGGGGTGGGAGTTTAATATTCCCTAGTACCTTTGTTGTTTTTCCCATAGGAATTTAAGGTTCAACGGGGGTGGGAGTTTAATATTCCCTATTACCTTTGTTGTTTCCCCATAGGAATTTTATGACGTTGCATCAACATTTGTTTGGGAATGGGAAACCTGTACGCTGCAAAGCCTGGGCAAAGCTCAGGCGTTGCGCGTATATATATATATACACACGGAGATTTGGTGCTGCCAGATTAGAGTACTGGGGTATGTTATATACTTGGATGCCCGAACTTCGTATGGAATTGCCGGGCCGAGTAAGTGGGTAAGGACGTTGCAAATCACTCAGCTTTAGGGACCATCTCAGTAGCTGAAACCGTGGTTGCGAAATCCTGCGCCAGTTGATGGTAAACATCCCATTATAATCCCATTATTCACAGTGTTTCATAGTTGTCAATAGTTACCAACTGGCGCAGAATTTCTCACATCCACTTTGTCACTGCGGAAAGTATGGGTCTGTGCGGTCCAAATAAAGCCATTTACGGCTTCCCGTAAAATGTCTTTCTACCGGACCGTCGTCCTTTCACCTCTTTTTTCTGGCACTCTGGGATGCAATCTCTGGGAATGTTCTTGGGTAACCCTGGGTACCCATGGGTACCCCATAAACACGAGCAGCTTACTCAGTGACTTGAGCAGACAAGGGAAGGGTACTACAGAGGTACTACTTTGGTTAACATTCTGGTTGTTAAACCTGGCAATGGACTATCCCCCACTTATATCCATTGAATGTTCTCATCATACAGCGGTATTTGCTATCGCCATGTTTCATTACCGGATGGTTTTCACTTCATAGTAACAACCCTCCAGTAATTTTCCATATTCTCCTAAGAAAACCCATGGGTTTTCCATATCTATTATGTATTACAATTGTAGGTACATTTCATAGGTGGGTTTTCCTTCTTGGCTCGACCAACCAGTAGAGACCAACCAGCGGCTTGCGGCCAAGCCTTTGGGATCTAAGGCAAAGGCAAATCCAGTGGCAAGTCGAGCAGCAAAGGAGATCGGGGGGATCTGCTGGGGAATGTCACGAAATATCTGCCTTGGGCCTTGGGGTTAAGATTTTGGCAGAAGACGGGCCGTTCAGAATGCCCTTGATTGGTTGTTTGGTTGGTCATTGTAGTTCTACCTCCTTGATCCACCTATAACAAGGTCCAGGGTTGAGTATTCAACTGCCCCGGTCCTAAGCGCCCAAGCGTGGGCTGCGTCAGGCAAGTCCAGCGGCTATGGCAGCTACGGAAGCTACGGGTACTAAGCTGCTCAAGAGGTGCTTTCTGGGTCGGTGGTGGGCAAAGAAAGCACATTTGGCAAAGAAATGGACGGTCAATCAACAATTTCGCCCATTCTTTTGCTTGCTTCAAGATATCTGGTTGGTGGTTTGGAACATTTTTTATTTTCCATATATTGGGATTAATAACCCCAACTGACTTTCATATTTTTCAGAGGGGTAGGTCAACCACCAACCAGATATGATTAGCCGCTAAGCCTTATTTGGGGATATCTTTAATTCGTTGAATCCTGACTCGTGTGGCTTTTCAGCAGTAGCTCTAGATGGAACGGGCCCCGGGCCTTCTTATTTGACCAACCTGGTTTCAAAGATCTTGTCTTTCCTCAAAAAGTGGCAGGAAATTCCCAATGGACTCACAGAATTTTCCTTTTTTTCCACCATTTTTCCTGGTGAACTCCGGCTGAATCATTGAATCCAGCACCACAATGCACCACATAAAACTGGGAGTTTTCCTCATCCGCTGCAGACCTCGGTCGAACACATCATTTTACATTGCAAATGTTGCTGGGCAGCATCCTTTTGGGCCTTTTTGGAGGGTGGGACTTTGGCTGAAGGAGAAATCACGAGAAATCGCCGAGTCGAAGTGCGACAAGCAAGGGTTTTGAAAGAACACAACCATGTTGACATTGAAGATGTGACATGTTTCAGCACCACGTGCAGCAGGCCTACGGACACCAACACTTTATGATTTTCTTGACACTTTTTGTAGGCTGTGCCCGGTCTTGACAATTATATTGATACTCGTTTTCTGCCCATCACATTGAGGCATAGAGATACACAACTCTTCATATTATACAAGTTCCGCATCCAAATGCATCTCTAGTGGATACTACACCTTCTAAATTCAACATGGAACCCCAAAGTTGTTGGGTTTTGGAAGATGATGTTACAATCATGGAAGCATAAATTGGGCTTCCATCAACTTCGAGGTTCCCGGACCGGCTAGAACTTTTTGTGAGAGCACAGACATCACAGACATGAGGACCTTGCAGAGTTTGGCTGGTGAAATCAGCGAGGGAAAAGCGGCGGATCTGACAGGTTTAATCTCCTGGGAGATTTACAGATTACCTGGACCCTTCATGGTGTAAGTTGTGATATGTTGCGGTGAACCATGGATTTCTGCTGGGAAAAAGCCAGACCTTGTTTCAAGATGTTACAAGGGCTAGAGAAACAGTCCAACTCATCAAGAATCCAGGTGGTTTCATGTTTTGCATGGCTTTTTTTGGAATGATGATCCCCATCGACCCAAACATGGACGATGATGCAGTAAAACCACCAACCAGTATAGTAACACCCAAACGATAGAAATATGTGACATCCTGGTAGAATGGTGGCAGTCTAATGCAATCTATTCGATTTTTTTGCGTCACCATCTTCGTTTTGTGGTGATGATCACCAGGTTTCACTTTGATGCCTTGCTGGGTGGGGAACCGCCAACTGTCCGACCTTTCGCGGCTGTTTGGCGGCTCTAAAGGGCAACATTTGGAGCCACTGACGATCGTGGTCAAGCACAGCAGCGTCCGTTGCGATCGCGTGCCCTGGACCACTGGATCGTGATCTGGAGATGTTTGTTGGCCCACCAGGGATCGCGACCATCACTGGGGCTATCACATGTAGCCATGGTGCATGTAAGCATCAAACCTCCGCGGTTGGGATGGTTGTTACATCTTATTACCCTCTGGTTATTTAACATAGCCATGGGAAATGACCCATTTATTTATAGATGGTTTACCTGTTAAAAATGGTGATTTTCCATGGCTATGTTAAATAACCAGATGGTAATCTTGTTACTTCATTTTACGACTGGGGGACAAAAAAGTTGTCATCCCCAGCAGGCTGGGCTGGGTTGAATCTGACAGTCGCACGGAAGGTTCATAAGAGCGCGCAAGGATCTGCTAATGATAGTGTCATAGTGTCTTTGAGGCAGGAAATTAATGGAAATTCAATGTGTCTAGGTTCTCAATTTGGACAATCACCCACATGGCTCAGATCCATCATGTGTAGTTCAATTAGATGATTCGCTGATTGAAACGCAGTGTTTTTCAGGGCATTGCCCGGGCAAATGAACCAAAGTGGTCAATGTACAATGTTTGGGTTTCTTATGCTACTACTAGTAGTATATCTATGTCAATATATGTGATGCATGCTTGGGTTTTTGGGTCATGAACATTCACAGTCACAATCCATCATAATCCCGCAAAAGCTGGATTGGAATTCGTTGGGCCTAACCCCTGAAACAGGCAGCATTTTTTGTCTTATATCATCTTCTTGTTGAGATCTAATTCGAGGTCCAAACACTATCAAAGAAATGATCATTTTGGTTGCTTCCAACTTGAACTTCAAGCAACTTGGGTTACTTCTATATTCTCTGCTTGGTTGTTTGGAACATTTTTTATTTTTCCATTCAGTTGGGAATGTGATCATCCCAACTGACTTTAACTCCATGATTTTTCAGAGGGGTTGAAACTCAACCACCAACCAGATTACCATAGTAGCCATCATTAACCATTAATAATAACAATTAATATTAACCATTATTAACCATTATTGACCATCATTAACCATATAATAATCATTATTAACCATGTGTACCTGACAGCAATCTCCCAGCAGCTGCCCAGTTCCGAACGGCATCATGGACAAGTACCGCAAGGTGATGAAGCCCAAGGTGAGCCCGTGAAAGTCCATGAAGTTGTCGGCCCGGCTGACATCCCATATTTGTTTTGGAGGTTTCAACCTATCCACTGATTTATTCCTGGTTGGTGGTTTGGAAAATTTTTTTGTGACTTTCCATATATTGGGAATAAGGTGAACAACTGACTAATATTTTCCAGAGGGGTTGAAACCACCAAGCAGATTCATTTTTTTGTTACTTACA